CGCGGTGACGTAACGCGCAACGCTAACGTAACCGTAATCAACGTCCTACTGTGACGTGGCACTCATTACGCCACAGGCAAGCACTGCAGCTATATAAGTGGATGCACAGTGCGTATCGATCAGTTCAGTTCTATTGTGGATACCAGCGAGTTCTACTGTAGCAGTCGGCGACTTCAGTTGTACTAGGAGTTGTACTAGGAGTTGTACTAAGAGTTGTACTATTGAGTTGTACTAGTCAGTTGTACTGAGTTGTAAAGCAACAGTCGCCGCAGTCAGTTGTATTGTGGCATTTGGAGTGTACTATTTGTGATACTGCAGATAGCAGTAATCGTCAGATTGTAATTTGGGTGATTGTAAGAGCGAGTGTGAAATAAAATTCGCTACATCGAATACATCGAGAATTTATTTGTCGCGATATACGCCCGATACGCGACAACTGGTGTCAGAAGTGGGATCAGTAACGCAAAACACGTTACATTTTTCTGGTGCTGGAGTGTCTGGAGTTGACACGTGGAGTGCAACGTGTGTATGTATGATTCAGGGCAAGGTTTGGTTAGTTAAAGTAGCGTGAAGTGTTCTCTTGAAGACAAAAGATTCGTGTACTGGAAGAGCTCGCTCCTGAGTCACTACATCGGTCCTTGCTATCACAGACATACAGCGCGTACTACACAAGAGCACGTGTTCACCAACAGTGAAACACCTGAGACATTATTCCAAGTTCCCAGAGTGGAAAAAATGAATGCAAATTTTAAGTTATAAATTAATTTGCAAAATGTAAATCTTAGCCATTAGTTCCTTCGAGAAGAGGTACCCTCAATCACTGGGTCCATCGGAAAGAAGTAATCTTAATCATTGGATCCATCAAAAAGAAGTAACCTCAATCATTGGGTCCATCGGAAAGAAGTAATCTCAACACTGGGTCCATCGGAAAGAAGGTACTTCAATCATTGGGTCCATCGGAAAGAAGTAACCTCAATCATTGGGTCCATCGGAAAGAAGTAATCTAAATCACTGGGTCCATCGGAAAGAAGTAACCTCAATCATTGGGTCCATCGGAAAGAAGTAATCTAAATCACTGGGTCCATCGGGAAGAAGTAATTTCGATCATTGGGTCCATCGGAAAGAAGTAATCTCAATCATTGGGTCCATCGGAAAGAAGTAATCTAAATCATTGGGCCCATCGGAAAGAAGTAACCTCAATCACTGGGTTCATCGGAAAGAAGTAACCTCAATAACTGAGTCCATCGGAAAGAAGGAATCTCAGTCACTGGGTCCATCAAAACGAAGTAACCTCAATCACTGGGTACATGAATTGAGAGCGACTCTTTCTAACGTAGGCAATACAGCAGGTGACCCGTGCCATTTCTCCTGAACATGCGTACAAACAGATGAAGTTTGTGTGCGGCTCCGAGTACTGGAGAATGGAGAAAGTAAGGAAACCCGGTAGTACGATCGGCACAGCCCTGCTAACTTATTCCCTTCGCTATATGCATCTCGCTCTCTCCCTATGTACACCGACTTACCTCCGCTGCTCTGGTCTCCCGAATCCGGTTGAGTGCCACTGTCCGAGGTTGTCAACCCCTGAATTCCACCCTTACGCATTATTCACAAGCGACAAGCTGGTTTTGCAGCCCCTTCGCCTGTTTCGTAACACAAGAAATTAGCATAAGAGTGATCGTGTCCCTGATATGCCGGGGGCAGGTGTTGCAGGTAGAAAAAATATTCGTTATTAGCTCCAGTCGCAACGGCCAACATGAATTATACATTGGAGAGACCGGACCTAGACACTCGTGTCCTGGGTTCGCTTCCTTGCACCAATGCTTTCAGGTTATCAAGCCAGTGATTGTGAACAGTCCCATAGAAATGCATTGCCTCTGTCTTCAGGTTGGAAGTAGCCAGCAAGAAGCAGGCATCAGGCACAGAAAGTTACATAAAGTAAGCCCCATAAAGAGGACGCCTGCTCTGGATTTCAGGTTATTTCTGCAGTTATTTTACTGTATTATGGTACGTGACGCCGTGTACGTAATTATTAATTAGGAATATTTCGGCGCAGATTTAGAACTCTTTTTTCAGGGAAAAATGTCAATATTCTACAAACTATTCCCTTGAGTCCTATTGGGTCGCTTAGAGCTCCCTCTACCTATACCTTCTACAATACGATCTGGTTAGGTGCCCCAGATGGGGCTAAACACCAAAGCAAGACACACTTAATGGACCGCCTGTCGTAACGTGACTCAGACACCCTCGCTCTGGAGATCGGCTTAATTTTCTACCTGAAGATGGATGCAGCAGTTTCTTCCCCTAAGAGAATACACGGCGTCACCAGTCGGAACATTTGTGTTTCATAAAGTCAGGGAGTTCTTTGACCAGTTGAGTCACTATCAGCTTCTCAATAAGGGCTCTTCTGTGAAGTTAACTGAGAACATTTCAACAGCGACTTCAGCAACCAGCTCATTACGCGGGCCACGGACAATGTAAACTAAGCTTAACACTTGGTAACTATATGTACCACCTGCTTTAATGACTGTGCATTTAGCTCCACACAGTGTAGACTTGATTCGGGAGGTACTAGGTTCCAATCTCTAAAGCCATTCCAGCTATCTTTTCTTCAGATTTTCGTGATGTTCCTCAGTCTCCTCCAGGCAAAAGTCTGGGTAGTAGATCGTATTTTAATGTACCGTTTCCTTCCATATCCTCTCCTATTCATCATTCATTAATCATCTTAACATTCCAAATGTTCAGCGGAGTAATATCCCCTGACAATACCAGCAACATCGTCTTGGTAACCGATACACAATGTGTCTACTGTGAAGTAGGAACTCAGTTTTTAGGTTGTTTTCCTTATTTTCAGAAAAATAAAAGGAGGTTTATGAGAACACATTGCTGTCTGTCTGTGTTCCCTCCTGATTTTTTTAGGTTCATGAGACTTATGAGATCATCCTGCTGTCTGTGTCTCCCTTCCATGTTTCTTCTACGCGGTCCGTGCTGCATCGAAGGAAAATAGGCCATTGTTGCCTCCCAAAACTTCCAGCTAAATAGTTTCCTTGCTTGGGTGGGTTCGGGAGTTAAATGGGTTGATTGAGTTCTCTGAACTTCACGCCATATCAGGAGAGCAGTTGCAAGAAGTAAGAAATTCTGATACAGAAGCTATGAGCCCTGTGTCCCGTAGTTTGAGGCTACGCTACAAGCGTAAGGGCCAGTGCTTGCAGTGACAGCGAGTAGCCTTGTTAGCTACGTATTTCAGTAAGCAAACTGTACACATTCCCGTGAAGGTCAAACGTTACGGTTGGGTACATTTGTCTGCCTCTTTCCGAGGAAACTTCAGCATCCTCATCGTGTTGATATTATTGCTACAATTAGCAAACTGCGTCCTTATTCCACGTACCCCTGCAAAAAAGTCGGGTCAGGGAAAGAATGAACACAGACTTCCCCGTATCCGCCTCTCCAACATCTATTTGAAATCTGCGTGTCTACCTCCACTCACCGCCTCAGTTTATATATCCTGATTTCAGTTTATTCTCTCTATTCGCCTTCTGGTTTCGCTACTGAACATTTATTGTCTTCATACTCTATCCTGAAGATGGGGACGGCGGATTGCTCCGAAACGTTATTAAATGTAATTAGGAGTAACATCCAAGGAGATAATTGTCTTCTCCATTAAAAACTATCAAGCTTAACCCATCCGTGAGCCAGCCGACTCCAATCAACATAGCACAACCTTCCTAATATTATCCGCAATGTATTCCTATATTTTTAAGTAATTTTGTTTTGGTTTCAGCTGGCCCTACTCTAAATTTTTGTTTGCATTTTTGTCTTCGCCCCTACCTTATGCATAATATATCCTGAAAAGAAAAAGCACAAAGCAAAGAAAATAATAATACTTCTTACTTCTAAATAAGAAGCCTAAATAAGGAGCAAACAAACATGAAAATGCGAGGTGCCCAGTTCTGTAACACATGTAAATCTATACCTTAGAGAATTCTTTTATTCGGGCAATGTTTTTTATTCCGTGCTTATACCTTTGTAGAATTAAGTCCCATCCGAGCAAATCTCTTATTATTATGTCTATATTTCACCAAATGGTATATTTGTTATCGATATAAGATGAAAACATACAGTAATTATCTAATTCTGTAGAGCTGAGAAGATCCATTTTAATATTATCTTCCCAACTATGCTTAGGCTATTGCACTCTCTATTTATTTATGGATCTGTGGTCTGACAGATCACTGATGATGATTATGATGATGATGATGATGATGATTTGACAAAAATTCTATATGTTTTTCTATTCTCCCCATTCGTGCTACAATCCCTGTCCATCTCGTCCTCCTTGACATGATCATTCTAACTATACTTGGCGAAGAGTACAAATTATGAAGCTCCTCATTATGCAGTTTTCTCCAACCTCCTGTCGGTCAAAATATTCTCCTCAACACCCCGTTCTCAAGTACCCTCAGTCTATGTTCCTCTCTTAATGTCAGAGACCAAGTTTCGCACCCATCCAAGTTCCGCTACCAAAGAGTTATTTATTAAGTATAAGTACACAACACACAGCGCATAGGAAACATCTAACCATAAGCCTATACAACCTCAAGCTGACATCTCCCATCTTCGGGATGAATTAACAAGGAGGAGCCTAACATTTTACTTCAAATGTTTTAAATTTTAAATATTTTAACATTGACGTTTTAACTTGAGGGCAATTTCGGATGGAATGTGAGAGTTGAACGTGCATTCAATAATCCTAGCAAGTGTTGTGCTTTTACACATCGACATATTGTAGCAGCGTCCAGGCAGCATATATACTGTGTACATTTAAACAACGACAGTGTTTTCATGATTGTACTATGTGCCTCTGATGATGGTTTTATTAAACCGAAACATGTAAGGCAAAAGTGATAAAGAAGTGACCTAAAAAATTGTTACACTCGACGGACTTTCTATTGACTTTGACTTTGTAAAGAAAATAACAAAGACAAGACATACTAGTGAAGGAGAAATAAATTGTTCCTGTGCTTAATTAATTAAGCATTATGCAATGAAGACGTATGGGGAGTGAAGGTATAGCTCCACCATTCCTGACCTCGGCACTAGATGAAGGTAAGTGGTCGCTTCACGTCGCGGCCGCTTTAATGGCTAGTAGCAATAGAATATGAGGCTGAGTGGGCCCCAAAATCGGTCTGGGCGCTATGGAGAGCAGAAAACCATACTAGTTTTATAAATGTCTGGATTGTCTTACACTTTTCGTGTTGCTAGAGCAAGTGAGAGCATGTAGCATGCAGTAACCTTCATGCTGGCAGAATGTGATCCATTTGGACGGCAATTCCACCGTGTGAGGACCGTCAGCAGAACCGGATATCCGCCGGATACAGCAGTGTTGCGCCAGCACGTGACAAGCAGCTGCCATTTCCGGTTTAGAAACTGAACGCCCACAATCTGGAAGTCGTTGAAGCGTAGAAGAAATTCAACACTCCACTTGCTGGTGGTAACCCCTCACACCAATTGGCCAACTCCACTATTAGTTGCTGAGTTAGACTAGAAATCCCGAACACTGGTCGCTATCCTATGCCGGTTAAATCCAGGACACACCCTCTCATCCTTATTCTTTAAGATTCATTTCTCCCATTTATGTCTAGGTCTTCCTAGTGAAAATTTTCCTCAGGCGTTTCGTCTGCATATATTTCTCTTCTCTCCCATGCGTGCTATGCACCCAGCCCCATATATTTTCGCTAATATTTGGTGAGGAGCACGAATTACGAAGCTCCCCATCGCGTAATTCTTTCTTTACTTGAATCACTTCATATGTTGTCCAGCCCTATAATAACTAGAAATGGAGTTCGGCAAGGGGATTCCCTAGCCTGCCTTTTGTTCAATATAGCATTAGAGAAGGTGGTTAGAGATGCAGGCATCAACACAAGGGGAACTATATTCTATAAGTCAGTTCAAATTGTGGCATTTGCAGATGATATTGATATAATTGGTAGAATACAAACATCTATGAAAGAAGCTTTTCTTAATTTGGAGAGAGCAGTAAAACAGATGAATCTACAAATTAACCAAAATAAAACAAAGTACATGTGGGTAACCAAGAAAGGCTGTGCTAATGGACCTGCATATATTGAAATTGGTTCATGTAAACTTGAGGTTGTGTGTAGTTTTACTTACTTTGGATCAGAAGTTAACTGTAAAAATTACATCAGTGATGAAATAAAATAGCGTGTACTTGCGGCAAATAAAGGTCTCCATGGCCTTATGAAACACCTGAAATCCCAACTAATACCCAGGAAAACCAAAACTTATAAGATCAGTGCTATCTTGTGCCTCTGAGACCTGGCCGCTTTCAAGATCGGATGAAAGACTGTTAAGTATACTTGAAAGGAGGATCCTGAGATATATCTTTGGACCAGTGGAAGAAAATGGAATATGGAGGAAGAGGTATAACCATGAGCTATACAAACTGTTTAATGAACCAGACATTATTGGATTTATAAAGGTGAAAAGGCTTGAATGGGCTGAACAAACAATACGTGCCGGCGAGAATAGAACCATCAAGAAAATACGTAATACTAAACCAGCAGGAAATAGGAAAGTGGGAAGACCAAGATTTAGATGGGAAAAATGTGTGTGGCACGACATAAGAATTTTGGGTGTAAAGAACTGGAGGAATGTAGCATCGAATGGAGAAGAATGGCGAGCAATCCTGAGGAAGGCGAGGGCTCACAAAGGGCCTTCGTGCCAGTGATGATGATGATGATGATGATGATGATGATGATGATGATGATGATGATGATGATGAATCACTTCATCTTTCCTCGGTCCGAATATTCTCATCAGCGCCCTGTTCTCAAACACCCTCAGTCTATTTTCCCCCCTTAATGTCAGAGATCAAGTTTCACACCCATACAGAACCAGAGGCAAAATTAGTTTTGTATATTCTGACTTTAATGTTTCTAGACAGCAGAGAAGACAAAAGGTTCTGGACTGAATGGCAGTAAAGCATTACCCGAGTTCAGTCTCCTCTTGATTTCCTCCTGAAATAAAGTCTTGCCTTGTTATTGTCCTCCCCAAGTCAGGATAGCCATGGGATCAGAGCTTGACGGGCCGGGATTCGATTCCCGGCAGAGGAAAAGGATATTCTCTTCTCCACAACGTTCATACCTGTGCTGGGGCCCACCCAGCCTCCCATTCAATGGATACCATGGGGTCTGTTTATCCGAGAGTGAAACTGACCGCCCACCCGTCTCCACTTAGTGGCATGGTCAAGAAAGTTGGAGCTATACCTCCGCTCCTCCATATGTCTCCATGGCATTGTGTTTAATTAAATAAACACAGGGACAAATTCCCGTAACATTTTACTGTTGTTCCCAAACGTCTGAAATTCTGGACCTCCACATTTGACGGCATTTCAATTTGCGGGGCCCTAGACGCGGTGCGTAACAGTGGCTTATGTGACCTGACGAGTAGCAAGTATTGCGCCGAGAGAGGGGCAGTACCATCTACAGGACAACACAAGCAACGATGCCAGGAGACTGCAATCCAAAGAAAAATAGTCGTTTCTTTCTCTTGTTTCACGTTGCCCCTGCTTCCCATTCTCAACCCTGATCCGTACAGCTGTGTTATCAATGGGAGTAATTTGCCCTTCCCCTCCGTGTCTACCGGGCTGTGTAGGCCCCGCTGGGCCTCTCTGGGTCCCGGTGGGAAGGATAAAAACTTTGGTCCCTAGCGGGAAACGATCCCCTGCCGCTGAACCCCAGGAAGTCTCTCTCATGGATTGTTACGCCTCGTTTCACACAAAACAACAGTTTATCCATTACAATAACAGTGGTAACTATATATACCACCTGCTTTAAAACTAAAAAACCCTGCATGCTTATCACACAGTGTTTAATTGTCCTGCATGAGTCTCACAATGTACGGTGATTACTTCCATAAACAGAATCAATAATTTTTAAATACTATTTTGGTATAATTCATATTCTAAAATGTTAATGCAATGGAGGTGTCTGATTTATACTGTTCAAAAAAAGACAGTTAAGGATGGGCGGGTCATGCAGCACGTTTGCCTGAGATTACAAATATATATGCAATATAAGTAAAATTAGTATTAAATTCCAGTAAGTGTAACAGTGTAGTTTTAATAATGAAATGAAGGCTCTGCATGTTTCGGCCAGTGATGGTCACCATCAGAAGGCAGCCAGCACTTCAAAGAAAATGCTTTGCGTGTTGTCTTGCAATGGTTGAAACACTAGTATTTAAAATAAGTTTCGCTGGAAACAATAGAATTTTTGATTGATTGGTACCTTGCTGTGAAGCCTAGTGGTGATGTTCCTTCATGGTTTGTCGTCTGTATTGTGTTCGTCCGCTCTGTGTGGTTTAACCCCGTCTATAGTCACGCGTACTACACGGGACAATAATTCAAAAACTGGTGTTTTAACCCTTACAAGACGAAACATGTACGTTACACATGTGACGCATTTCTTCTGAGGAGTTGAGCGCCTTCCGATGAGGGCCATCACTGGCCCAAACATGCAAAACCTTCATTCCATTGTTACACATTTTGGAAATTAATCCTCATTTTATTAAGGCATAGGATGTATCGAAAGCAGTGTCTGTCATGAAAACGTGTACAACATTTCAGTCCAAAATCCGAAATTAAAATGACAGTTTGGGAGACCAAGATGTTGACGGCATAATAATATTAAAATTGTATCTCAGATAAACAGGATGGGAGGTTATCAGCTGCACAGGAAAGAGCATTTAAATTGGATACGAATCAATTGAGGACCAAAAGCAACGTACGCCTACTTACATACTTTAAAAAGGAGAGTTGCAGACTTCGATAGATCCTGAACTAAACGGAAAGAACAGTCTTCAAATTTCTCAACGTCGGAACACGCCTTCAGAACACGAACAAAATTTTCGGGTTCCATAAAAGGAAGAGCAAATTTGCGACTACCAGCATTCGCATACTAATCGACTGATCGATCCAGTGATACTCGCACAATAATATGTATTTAATACTCAGACTATGTTCATTCCTCGATCAATCGACGGTCACTGCGCGTGCGCACCGACGAGGTTGAGTAATGTTGGTCAGCCATTCTGCAATCTTTAACAAAGCTCGTAGCTTTTCGTCACATTTTGGAAATTTTTAATAAAATATGTGACATTATGGAGCCCTCCAGTGAAAAACGAAGCAAATACTAAAAAAAAATGGGATCATTATCCGCGAATCTCTAATCAACGGCGTTTCATGGGCCCAATTAAACACGATTAATGAATGTTTTTTTCATGGCGTGACGTATTTCGGTTTTAATGACCACTTCACACTGTACACGTCTCTGCACGTTGCACTGGTAATATTGAGCCGGGTTCCAGGGAACCCATAGGGATTTCATGGCAAAGGGTTCTTCTCCTCACGACACACACACACACACACAGACCCTCCTCTTAACGTATTAGACAGCGGTTCAGTGTACGAGTGGCCTAAGTCTTATTCTGCGATGTGCATTGCTTCAACAAGCACACGGTCTGTAGCCAACCAAGGTTCTCACAATCGGGATGTAGTTTCTGGATTGTGATACCGTGTAGTCTGGCAAGTAGGTGGGTATCGGCATTTCAGCATCCCCTTGTGTGTCACACGAAATGGGACAGTCTATACAACAATAGTTGTATAGACACTATTGTGTCAACATTTGTTTTTATTAGCTGTTGGTGGTACCGCTACATGTTTCGACCCCTTTCTTGGGTAATCTTCATGCGTTCAAGAATACTGTTACTAGTTCTTGAATTGCCTCATTGGTCAATATGAAATCATATTGTACGTATTTGTACGATTTGAGGTTTTCACGGCGGTGACTATGATGAAAGCAGTCTTCTGGGATGTGACGCCGTGTAGATATAGTGTTAACCGGCGTTTCGGAGGAACGTATCGCCTCCATCTTCAGGGTAGAAGACAAGAATAAATCCGCGAGCGAACCAACGTAAGCAGGTGCAACAGTCAAGAATGATTGAGTTATACCTCTTCTCCCCCCATACTCTTCATGGCATAGTGCTTAATTAACTAAGACAGGGACAGCTTTACCTTTCCTTACCCAGTCTCCTATAATTTCTATGCCTGCACTTTATGTGTGTTACAAGCGTAATATATTTTTCCGTTCCGTAAGTCGCTTTTGCATGAAGGCATGCCAGTGAGCTGATTGCTCTCACAAGCTGGAGCACAAAAGGTCTCGCCAGGTAAGAGACGGGGCAGCAAAAACCGTGATGAACTGCTTCTTCATTAATGTATATATCTACTCCTCCTTTATACGCGGGTACAGTTCGGGACATAAAACTTCGAAAGTCTCAATCCTGAGGACAAGCCGGTTGCATACTGATGAAGGCATCCCGCAGTGCCCGCGGTAAGTAGTTCTTCCTATCTGTGCCCTTTCACGGAG